ACAGTACAGGACTTGAGAACGGGGAATCACTGTCCTCTATGATGTCCGCTTGTTTCAGTTCCGCAACGATGTCGTTTATTTGCCGTCGCTCGTACTGCGACACCCTATATGGACGGTGGGCTATAGGAGTTGCGTCCATCAGTGAAATCTTCATCTCCGCCATATTTGTATGACCGACCTGCCGGATATTTCTTGCAATTAGATCTTTGAAATCATTCAATATACTCACGACGTGCTCGGCTTCTTCTTTGGGTAAATCCGTGTTGACTTCATCCAATTTTATGGGTTCCACGTTCACCTCTCTGTCCGCTGGTTCGTGGCCTTCTTCTACCACTTCTCCACGTGAAAGTGCCGTCCCTTCCTTTATGTGTAGATCGGCTCCCGAAATATTTAATACGGGAATCAGAGACCTTCCCTCCGAATCTGTTGATATTATGCACCTCGGTATTAGCTGTCCATCATTTCTCACGCCTCCTTCAATGCAAATGTCTTGATTGTTGATCTCCGTATGCGCCGCAATGCATCCCAAATAATTATTTGGAATAATCATCTCTTCGGTACTCCACAATGGAGTTTTACTTCTCTCCGACTCGACACCTTCGATCGGACGATTAACCTTTTTAATAATCAGTTCATTTGGCCTACTAATTATTTCTATGTCCTCTTGTTCTGTAAACGGGTGACCTACGATCAGTGGAATTACTTGGCATTTCTTCGGTACCACGTGGATTTGGGCTCTCGCTTCTACGCCATCGATTGTAATTCTTGCCGTCATCATCCCGACTGGGGTAACCGTTCCGTCACCATAGCCTGTAAGCTGACCAAAGCTGCCTTCTAGATAAGTTAAACCAGCCTCTTGGGCAACATCTTCGCGTAGAGCGACACAGGAGCTACCCAAATCGACATAACACCTCATGTGATTACCATTAATATATGCATCTTTAAAATATTTAGCGTGATTCTGACCTGGTTGTATATGCAAAACGCTACCTTTCGCTACCGGCGTTTGTTCTTTGCTTACATGATGCTTAGCAGAAACTGCAGCCGACCTGCAATATTTGGCATAATGTCCAACTTCATCACATCGGAAACAGCGATTTCCCTTCGGTTTGTCGCACTGTTTCGCAGTATGCCCTTCTCTCTTACAATTGAAACACGTTGTCTTCACCGGTGTGTCGGTATTGTTAGGTCGCCTCCTTTCACC